TGCCCGATGCTTTGTGAGGGGAGCTGCATCCTCAGGGTGCAATTACAGCAATTATCTGGATGGATCTTCTCATCAGTGACCTTTGACTCATCTCCTACAAACTGTCAGTCTTCATCACCAAACGGGGAAAGCAGAGTATTGTTTCGACTCAATCAGCTGCTCCTGAGAAAGAGAAAACCCCACATTAGGGCAGCCTGGCTGCCCACACTGACCTCCTGCAGCCAGCCTGCATCTGCCAGGCGAGGGGAGCCCGGCAGGAACCGCAGGTCCCTCCTGGGCTGTTCCCCTGGCAGGATGGAGCCAGCAGCACCTCCACACACCCCTGCATTCCTTTGGCACTGCAAGAGAAGCAGAAATGAATCTTTTTGGATTCAAAGTGCAGAGTATTCTGATCTTCTCCTCTTCGTTGGTTTTGCGTCAATTTTTGGAAGTTTGCCTCAAAACCCTCTGTCTCACTTTGCATTCAACTGGAATGAACTCGCTGAACCAACTGAATTTACTATGAAATCACACCTATGCAAAGTCTTACCTTACCACTATTATGACATTTATTATCACACAATTTTTACTGAACTAAAACTCCTGCGTAAGTTTTGTCTGAGGGCATGGCCTGGAGGGTACAGCTCATGAGAAATTAAACTATTTAAACTTACAGTCAGTAATGCTAAATGATAAAGGGATAAATGACTAAGTTCAAACAGCAAGACATTTAAAATGGAATTGGAAAATACCAACTTTAAACATTTTTATAACTTTCACTTTGCAGTGAAACAGCTGATGACTGACTGTAACAGAAAAATGAAATATCACTTTTGCCTTAAAGGGAGGAGAGCTTAATTCTCTCAGCACACAGTTCTTCCAGAAAAAGAACGGCAGTTCTAAGGCATAATTATAATGACCATTAGCTGCTACCTACCATTTAATTAGCTGGTAATAAAAGCAAGGCTCTTCCTTATCAAAGCAATCAGCAGTGTCACTCCTTTGCATTCCTCCCATTAGCTGCAAATGTTGTGATGTGGACAGGGCAGGGATAAAACCAACAACAGACAATCTGGGAAAAAACCTCCTAAGCTAAAAATAAACAAAATCATTTACAGAGGTAATTCAGTCAACTAGCAAAGGAGAAAGAAACGAAACTTTCATTGTCAAGTGTCAATTCAAAGTGAAAACAGATTGAACCAAAACTGTCAAAAAATGCTTTACCATTTTGTAACACTCACACCCCCCAGCGCCAGACAGAGCCCAGCTGTTTCTGTGACTAACTTCAAACAATAGCTGGGCTGTTTAAAACTCAACAACAGGGAATGATGTTTGCCTGAAGACATACTGTATTAATGTAAATTGCTTTCAAATGCACATTCAGTTCCTTAAACAAAACAAAAAGTAGATATTAAACTGTGTGAGTGGAGATTACTGTTAGAGCCATATACAACCCTGTCAGCCATAATTCAGTCACCCATTAGGGACCACATGGGGGGAGCTTGCATTCAGAGGGAAGGACAGCAAAAGGGGCCTCTATTTCTGCAAAAGGAAAGTGTTATTCATTTTACTCTTCATACTTCAGAAAGGCCTTAAGACTGTGGAGTTTGTGTCTCCTCTATGAACCTTCCAATTGTCATGAGATGAAACCCTCTGTACTTCCTTGTTACGGGATGCTCTACACTCATGCCTATGGCTGGGAGTCCTGCTGCCAGAGTGCCCTCATATCATCTTAAGCACTGACCTTTAAAAAATTATAAATGTTATTTCAGCTTTAATATTCTGATTTTAGTGTCTCTGGAAGTGATTAACAGCACTGGCTTTATATCTTCAGGTCCTTGCCTGTTTGCTCACCACCTTCTGCTAATGTAACTTAATCATTACACGCTGTAACACCCCAGGTTTCTATTTCTAGTTCAGTGAAATTAAACTAGTAATAAGCAGCAGCATACTGTATCATCAGTGGGCTTTAATCGCTCCTGAAGGCAAAAGGATTAAATCAGAGATTAATTTTGTTCTGTGTATCATCTTTCTCATCTGTACAATGGGGACAACATAGCTATAGTTGAGAGAAAGCAAAGCTTCCTCACAACAACAATTACATTCCCATCTGTTAATTTTTTGTCAGTTATCTTTGCAGTACAGTTGTGAGATTTTTAAGTAACCAAATTCGTGTAACTAACAAAAAAGTGATCATGGCAAAGATCTTCAGTAGATGTGCCGACAGACAGCAGACATGTTTGCCTAATCCAGACTTGGTAACCAGCAAAAAGATTTGAAAGACAGGAAAAAGATTAGTTTGGATACAAAGGAGAGGATGGCAGGAATGTTACGATGATAGTTCAAGAACATCTCTTGGAACATTCACAAAAATGGAAATCAGCTGGAAATCCACCATTTCCTCATCTACTCTACCAGAATAATGCTTAGACGATGAGTAAAGAGCATCTCATGGTAAAATCTTCCATCACAGCATGAAAAGACCCAGTGTTGTGGTGATGCTGACTGTGCACCGTTCCCACACTGTTGTGTCAACACTTCACTTGGAGAACATATAAAAGAAACCTACTGGGTTTGACAAGTGCACCCTTTATCAAAGGGCCAGATCACTCCTCGTGGCCTGTGTGCACACTTCACCTCACCTTAAAGGACTTCTAAAATTTGTCTAACATATCTGTTGCTTATTAAAAGCCGTAAAACCTCTTTAAGTAAGGATTTCTTAGATAAGCAGCTGAAATTATCAATAAACAATAATTTTACTGATATGTTAAATTTTTTTATCTGCAACAGAAAATATATTAGCATGCTCCTAGTGTATATTAATTGCACGTTAACTGCACCTCCCTTGCACTGGTGGCACACACCTGCCAACTCAGCCAAGTAAAGAAAGATGAAGGCAAACGCAGCAAAGGCACGTGCAGGGTTGAAGAGACATCAAAGTCAATGAATGTGGAGGGACCAGCTGTCCAGCTGAGCCAGCCCCACTGGGGACAAATTCCCATTCCAGGAGCAACAAGGCAGCCCCATCCCCTCCCAGACGGGCTTCACAGAATGTGCCAAGTTGGAAGGGACCCACAAGGATCACTGAGTCCAACCCTTAGCCCTGCACAGGATCTTCCGCAAGAGTCACACCCTGTGCCTGAGTTTTCATCTAAATGCTCCTTGAGCTCTGTCGGCCTTGGTGCTGTGCCCACTGCCCTGGGGAGCCCGTTCAGTGCCCAACCACCAACTTCTTTTCCTGAGAGCCAACCTAAACCTGCCCTGACCCAACTCCAGGCCATTCCCTGGGTCCTGTCCCTGGTCCCCACAGAGCAGAGATCAGAGCCTGCCCCTCTCGAGGAAGTTGTAAGGTCTCCCCTCAGCCTCCTCCAGCTGAAGACACCAAGTGCCCTCAGCCGTTCCTCACACGGCTTCCCCTCAAGACCCTTCCCCATCTCCGTTTCCCTCCTTTGGATGCTCTCTAACAGCTCCAGCAGAAGCCAGGTGTGTATGTACATCCCATCCCCCTCTTTCCTGGCGGGGGTGACTACACTTTGCGGCGACACCAGGACTTTATTACTACAAAGAGCCCTTTTCCCCTCGCCTTGAGGCGCACGGAGCGAGCCGGGCCATGCCGGGGCAGCTGAGGCAGCACAGCCCGGCCCGGCCGCGATGCCGCCTCTGGTGCCCCCGCAGCGCCCCCTGCGGGCCCCGCCGGGCACGGCCGCTCCCCAAACCTCCCCGGGAGCGCCCCCGGCCCCGGCTCCTCTTCCCCAACCCCGGGGCAATTCCACCTCGCAAGCTTCCCCTCCCTTCCCAGATAACTCAATTAACTGAGAACGCCGTTAGGGAATACTATAGAATACTTCAGTCTTACCTGTTTCGTGACACAAATAATTCCTGCGTATTTAACAACTCCTCCAAAATTACTAACTTTAAATATTTCAAAAACTGGTTTCTACTCAGAATATGTGTTGCTTTAAAAGATATTAATACATGCATACGGGTCTAAATGTACAAATAATATAATTAAATCTTTGCAAAACATCAACCTGAATAATGACAAAAATATTTGCATTTGCATAGTTATGCAAATCCTTAATCATGAAGAACAATCCCTGTTTGCTGTCATAAAGCATGAGACCACTAGGAATGACTCCTGAAGAGGTCAAACCATTCTTTCTTGATTCCCAAAAGGACGCATTTCCAGCTTCTAACTACTGAAAAAAATAATTTTGCAAGTTCAGATATAAATACATCATTTATTACTGCATTCATATTCCTTCATGTAGTCTGATTCTTATAAGTCGGCACAGAATGAGTCAGCTTAGCTATTAACAACTATTAAATAAACAATATATATTCATAATATTCATCAAGTAATTTAAATACCTCTGCTGCTTAGATTTTATAACATCAATGGAAAAAGCACAACAAGAATAAAGTCAACAATATTATTTAATCAATTATCATGGACAAAAGCATTCTTCAGTCCTGTCACTGGTAAGAACAAATGAGCTTACTAAAACTTTACTATTGTGAAAATAGACACAAACCAATAAATATGAACCTTGTAACTCAAATAACTGTCATGGAAAGACAAAGCCAGTGACTAATTTTGATGAATTCAAGCACTCTCACTTCTCAGTGTTTGCCAAACACTACAAAACTGAACGAGGTTTCTGTCACCAAAAGGGTAATTCCTGTCCATGTATTTTTCACAAAAATGCTTTTTCACAAAATTGTGGTTTAGCCTCATGAATTCTATTGGAAACTAAAGTGTTTGCAGAAAGGAGGTTTAGTAAATGTTCCTTGCATTAAAAAATCATTGCCTTTCATGTGCTCACCCTAGCAAAGCACAAACCATCTGAAGTTCATGCAGCTCTCAGTGCTACAAAGCTACTGAGGCAGAACTTTGCCTCAAAGCAGTCTGCAATTCTGTGAGTAAGGCTGGAGAAAAATGAAATGCAAGGTGAAACAAACCTATCCATTTTTTAACAAATTACTCTGAAATCAGCTATTTTTTTTCTCATTCTCATAAATGTTATCACATTTATGTAATAAAGCAGGCAAAGGTTCCCTATAATTTTCACACTTTGGCAGTGGTACTTAGGCTACACAGCAGAAATTGCAGCAAGAAGAAACACGAGCACAGAGAGGCTTCAACAGCTTTCAACCAGCACCTTTTCCAACTTTCTAACTGGAGGTAGTTCCACACTTTGAAATGACCAGTTACAACCACTGAGAACGAGCAAGACCAGTCAGTTTGTGAGGTATTTGTCCACTGTGTTGAGAATCCATTTCACAGGTCGCTTCTGTTTAGTCTTCTATCAGAGCTGCTGTTTCTATCCCATCTAAAACAGGAACAATCTCACTGGCACAATGTCCATTTTTCACAGTAGAAACATCTTGGAATGACTTCAGGGTAACTTTGAGGAAAAAAAAAAAAAATTGTGATGATTAACCAGAAAGACAAGTAAATGTTTCAATAAATTTAACAAGTATGCAGTTTAATTTAGTGGAGAAAATACTGCCAATATGTACCAACATCTTTTACACTTTATTTGGGGAATGAATCTATCTTATGTCAAATATTACATTACAAGCCATGTTACTGAGTATAGTATTCTCATCAGAGGAAAACAAAGCATTATTTAACTGGAACTTTAATTACCATACACATCTTTTTCCTTTTTTATTAGTAACAGCAAATCACTAACAGCACCAGTCTCACAAATTATCTTTTGTAAAGCCACACAGAGGATCCCACAGGCCCTTTCAAGTTGTGCAGGAAGTGGACAGTGATACCCAAATATTTGAAACGTCACCTTTGGGGAAAAACCTTCTGAAACAGCACAGAAATTTCTAATATTTGTGTGAGTCAATTTATGAACTGGGTATTTGCATGAAAAACATCTAAAGACACATTATCATAGCTCTAGAAAAAAAATCAAGCTTTCAGATGAAGATATTTGCAAGATACCAAAAAGAAACTGTTTGCATGTAGGGAAACATTAATAAACAGCAAAATCTAATTACTGCAAAAACATAAACACTGCAGCTGTAACACTCCTCTCTAACCATACCATTACAGCCTCACCAGTGAAAACAGAAGTGTCAATGCTAATGTAAACTCAGCTGCTGATATATATTCATTAGATTCAGAAAAGCTCCAACATTTCTTCTTCTCACTATGTCAGATTTTCTCTCAGTGTCACTGGCCACAAATCAGTGCAGATACAACTTGATATATGAAAAGGTAAGGTTTTGGGACACCTAGGCCAAAGATGTACTTGTATTCTTGTCTCTTACTCCATAAAAATCATCTTAGAAATCCTATCAAGAAGACTATTATGGCTTTCAAATACCATCTGGGAAACACAGGGAGAAATGTGGGGATATTCTGGTCAGGCAAAGCTACTTTTTGGCCCTGGTGGCCCTGAAGGTGACCTTGGAAACACACAACCAGCTCTCACCCTGCACCAGTGCAGAGACTGAAGTGACAGAATAAACATTCAGTGCTCCAGAGCAACCCACAAAGAGCAACACTAAGTAATTATGGGTGATTTTCTGACTGCACACTGCATGACCAAGGGCTCTATAAAAGGGCCTGCTCATCTTTGCAGTGTGAGAGAGGCCATTTAAATCAGCAACATTTTATCATTATTTGATCATTACCTGGTCTAAGTATGACAGAAAGGTGGTGAACAATTTCTTTATTAAGATGGGCTAGATCTTTTGTGGTTATAAGGCAATCTGAGCCCTGAAAATGGAAAGTTTTTAATCTGGTCTGTATTAAAGCAGTGTATTACAAATCATGAGCTCTCAAGAAACCTCACCAGGGCTTAACTCAGTGATGGGTCTCATTCTCATTTATAAAGTCAAAGGGAATTTGCAAAAGGGAAAAGAAAACCATATTTGTAAGCATTGCTAAGCAGGGAGTTTAGGAACTTGTTTGGAGCAGGGGAACGGCCCAGACTGGGCACCTGAGCAACGACTCAACACAGATGATAAGAATTTCTGACACACAAAAAAGCCTATTCTGAAGTATTCTTCCACTGTTAGCTTCACTGTGAAACAGTAATTAAACAGCAGGGAAGACTTACTGTCTTGGTCTTTTAGTCTTGATTCTAATTTACATGATTAAATTCTAACTTACTCCCTGATTACCTTCTGACTTTACACGCTTAGGGTTCTCATGGATTTTATTTTTCCCCGTGCTTCTTTTTCTGGGTGCAGCAGTCTCTACCCTCCCCAGTCCACAATTTTCAGCATGCTTACGCATATTTTTCTGTCAGCATAATGAAGAATACATATATGAATTAAATATTAATCTATGTAAGCAACTTAACAAACAAAAAACAAATACAGCTCTGACAGACAAATTTTGGAATGCTAAGGGGAGACTGACTTAGTTAACAACATTCATAAAAATCCTGGAGATTTTCCAGAATATGTATTGAAATTCTGCTTTAAAGGAACGTTGCCCTTTGGTGAGTATACAATAAAATTTATCAATTTCTGGTCCCCAGATAAGCAATAAAGTTTTACATATAAAATCTGTACATGGAAAAAAGGTTACACTTACTTTAAAGTGTCTACAGTTAACCCAAAATGAGAAGTATGTTCTCACTGCATATGGTTTTGAAGTAGGCAGGGACACCTTCCACTATCCCAGGTTGCTCCAAGCCCCGTCCAACCTGGCCTTGGACACTTCCAGGGATGGGGCAGCCACAGCTTCTCTGGGCAGCCTGTGCCAGGGCCTCACCACTCTCACAGTAAAGATTTTATTTTCTAATATCCAATCTCAGCCTACTCTCTGACAGTTTAAAGCCATTCCCCCTTGTGCTGTCACTACATGCTCTTGTAAATAGTCCCTTGTGCCAATATGATCTGCAATACTTGCTAAAGGTAACTCCACTGAGATCCCTTAAAAGGGATATCTTACCCTGCCCTCATCTATCTTTGCCCTTACCACATTTAGGGCATTCATAAACTGCAGGCTTAACACTACAGTCCTGGTGCTTCCCAAAGGGAAGAGTGAGAAGCTGCTTCCATCAACAGCTCTTGCTGCAGCACGAGCAAGTGAAGGGCTTCTCACCAGTATGGGTTTGTTTATGTGCAATTCAGCACAAAAATATCTGTAACATTACTACCCAGCTCTGTGACACATGTACAAACAACTCTCACAGGCACCAGAAAAGTGTTAGGGTGTTGCACAGACTCCTTATTTATCCTCCACTGTGAGCAGAGGCTGAAGAACACACTGGGATACTGCTCTCCCTTGGAGAAGGTCAGAGGTTTTCCTCCTAACTTTATTAAGGATTGCTGAGAAAATAACCAGACCAGAGTAATGATACATTCCAACATATCAAGGCCAAAGCTATTCTAAATATCCTAAATGTACTCTTTAAAATAAAACTTTCAGTTCAGACTGAATTCATTCTGTGTCACTGCTGAAAAATCACATTTCAGGCTCAAATCCCGTACTTTGTTCTTATCAGGACATCACCAAAAGTGATTGCTCTTACTTTACACTTCTAAGCAGTTCACGTACAAAAGATTTACCACAAATACTTTTCTTGATGAAAAAGATTTCATTTTCACTGTTTATTTGTGAACAAATTATCCTGGAAATAAATATAACTACACTATTTTAGCCAGACCGCAGGCACAAAAGCTTTTATTCTCTTCAGGTAAATATAACCCCGAAGCCAACCACACCTTGCCTGCCAAACCACCAGCTGAGTAAGCAGGGAATTTACTGAGTTCTCAGGGAATTTAAATACCTGATTACATGTGTAGCTGCACTGAGCACATTTGAATCTTTTTCCTCCTCTGTGAGTCTTCTTGTGCTGAAGGAAAGCATAGCGTTCGTGAAAAACGGCCTCACAGGCGCTGCACTTGATGGCCTCTTCCATGTAGGAGTGAAGATTTCGCAAGTGGACACCTGAGCAGTCATCCAAAACAATTCCTTTTAATGGCAAACTTTTGATTTCCACAATTTTGAATAAAAGATGGACTGTTTACATCCCTGAGTAAGACACGAAAGAACCTTCAGCGCTCTCTCCAGTAGATGTAAAACAGCCAAATAGGCAAATTAGTTTAAGATAACTAAAGCTGCAGCAAGGTGTTGTAACTTTCCATAGAAATCAAGTAGTTATAAGCCTAAATCCTGTTGATTTCAATGAAAATTGTTTAACAAACTACTTTCAAAAATTCCAGTATCCCCCTGCTTTAGTCTATACACAATTCATTGAAAAATGTTACCCAAAGTAGTATTTACAATATAAAAGAGAACACTGCGAAAATACACAAACAAAGAAATTGTATGTATGTAAACAATAATTCCTCTCCTACCTTCAAATATTTACCATATTTCAATTGCGTCTTTATTTGAAAACATAAATTGAATCTAAAGGCATTTTGTATGTCTTAGTATTTCTTTAATATAGCTTTTTCATATATTTCCGGAAACTTAAAATTTTATATAGGTTTTGTTATTACTGGTCAGGTCAACTGCTTCAAATATTTCGTATTAAAGGACAGAAGGTCACCGGGCCACAGGTACCAAGCAAAAGAAAAAGCTAAATCTTTGTTACTTTGCACTTTAAACAAATTAAAACATCAACCACAAGATGTCACCACATCTCCTTGCAGGAGGAACTTACCTGTAAAACATAAATACATTTTCCATAGCAGTATTTTGTGATGATACAAAGTCAAATATAACGTATTTGGTGAGGTTTTGTGAAGATGAGAGATTTCACCTTTACTTATCTCTATGTTTCGTTTTCAGTTTTTTCCTTCAAACTCACCCAAATCACTTTTTCGGGAAATAAGGGTACTGCAATGTGGACACTGGTGTTTTGGGACATTTTCTCCGTGCTTCTGTAACATGTGGATTTTCATGGTACCACTCTGAGTGAATCTGGCCCGGCAAACACAACATTCATAGCGTTTTTCCCCTATTAAAAAGATATTAAAACAACAAGTGTTCATAACTCTACTCATTTGATACAAGATCTCAACATGTTCTAACACCAACAGTCTCCAGACCAACCAAAGTTACTATTAGTTGACAATGCACAAAAGGCCAAATAAGTTTCCATAAGTTTAGATAACAGATTACAACACAGAATCTGGGCTTCCAGAATCTACAAGTCAAAAATTGTCTCAAGACATGAACCAATGGGGGATAGGTGGGGATATTTGGAAGATTTGATTCAAACCACACTGTCACACTCTGAAACAAACTAAAACATTAATCATAACACACATTACACATCATAACTGAGCTAAGTTAAACCCTGAAATACAGGATAAATACCAACTGCCCTCTCAGAAGACTTGCACATTACAGAGCTGTGACTGGAACACACTGCTTTCAATATTTAAGCAATTTAATCCTTTTGACCAAATTAGTTGCTACCAGTCTGGGGCCACACAAATGTCCATGTTTTGAACAGACATTAAAAAACCTCCCATCAGACACACTCCATATAAAATCAACTAATCGAGAAATAAAAGTGACAACTTGATCCACAGAAAACAATAGCACGAAAAGGAAATATTTTTCTAATATAAAATAAGTTTAGTAAGAACAGTAAGACTGCAACTAATAGCATTGTACAGCCAGATCTCCAATAGCCAAATCCAGAACATTTAAAGAGAACATGTTTTTCACATGTTTTTACTCAAAATCACAAATTAAAAAAGGACTAATTTAGAGTCTGAAATTAGATCATTCTAAGGCCATAGACTGGATCATTGCAGAGTCCTACCTGTATGAGTTAACATGTGCCTTTTCAGTTTATAGGCATCTTTGCTGGCATAACTGCACAGGTCACAGGGATAGGGACGCTCTCCTGTGTGGGAACGAATGTGTCGTCTCATTTTGCTGGCCTAACATAAAAATCAGAGATTTGCAAAAGTAACACCTACATTAGAGACATAATCAATTAAAAATATAAGCAATGTTACATAATACAGCCATTGCAATTTAAAATATTGCACTAATCCAAAAATGAACACTCTCCTGTCCATATTCCCCCTCCTTTTTCTTGCACAATCAGTCTGTTGAGGTTCTAGGTAACACTTTACTTTTTCCCCCAATGATCTTATTTCCATGTTTAGTGTCCACATTAGAAGAAATTTTATAGTAAGAACATAAAAGTTGGCATTTTATAAAGAGGATACCTACTACTGTCACACTACTTGGACATACCAAACACAAAATTCTTTGAAAATACTCAGGAAAACCAGTGAAAGACCAAACACATTAACCAAAGTCTATTCACATTCAAGTCTCAATGTTGCTAAGTTTAATTCAATCTACTTTTTTATACTGTTCTGATCTGTTCTACATAAATATTGTGGATACACAATTAGGAGTTACCAAATGTTCAATTCCTCCATTTATAAACATATTTAAGGAATTCACTGACAGATCCATTCAAATGTACAACACTCTTCAAATAAAATTAAGCATGACTGCCAACCTTTGCTATACAAAAGTCAAACAATTTGCATGGCAGTACCAGAGAGCTCCTTCAGTTTTCCTCATTCAGGTAAAGCTCACAGGAATGAGAGTCCTGGAAGAGCAATGAGTGCTGAATAGTTCCTTCTTGGAACAAGGGAAAGAATAAAATAATTTAAAATAAACTGTCAGGGTTTTTAAAGACATAAGCTACCCAAAATCTAATTAATAAGGTAAGGTGTGTGGAATAAAGTTAAGGCTTGCTTACAGCTTCAGATCTGGACACAGCACATAAAAAATTCAGATATTGTATATCCACTAAACTGTGACAGTGATTCAATCATAGCTGACTGTGATTCAATCACAGATGCATTTCTGAAATCCTGTTTTTTTCCAAGTGAACCCTTAAGCAGACTCTCAGTTTTTTATTTCCTGATTAAGAAAATTTCAGTTCTGGAAAGAAAACCAAACATCATCAAGTACATAAACATAATACATGAGCTTTATTTTAGACATCAGCCAGTACTGTCCTACAGTATGAAATGTAAATGAAGAGGACCAAAACTCACACAAACACGTTGTCTGGCAGCAGTTTTAGCATAGTAAAAAAGAAAATGCTTTTAAACTAGTTTTAAAAAGCTAAATGATTGTACTTACTTCTACACTGCAGTATTCACATATTGTGCACTTGAAAGGTTTTTCTAAGGTGTGTTTGTACCGCCTGTGTCGTGACAGCTCACCCCTGGTCACAAATGCTGTATCACACTCACTGCATTTATGGGGTTTGGTCCCTGAAAGAACACACCATTAGAATTTTATTTAACATCAACATGCACAATTTTTTAATAGAATCTTTCCTGAAATTCTGATTTTTATATACAATAAATCATAGAATGGTTTGGGTTGGAAGGGACTTTGAAGACCATCTTGTTCCAAACCCCCTCCACTAGATCAGGTTGCTCAATCCAACCTGACTTTGAACGTTTCCAGGGATGGGGTATCCACAGGTGCTCTGGACCTCACCCTTCTCACAGTAGAGAATTTCTTCCATATATATGAACACTATAAGTTCATTATAAACAGAATTTATTCACTTTGCTTCATATGTTTATACAGCAAAATGAAAATACCACAGAAAATTCTACTATGCATATAGGAATCAGGCACAACTGAAATCACTATTCACTTGCCAAAAATTTTTAGAATGATATTTAATAAAATAAATAAACACATACACAGAGATTACTAACAACAGGCAATGTCTTTTCAGTGTGGAACTCCAAACAAAATCAGAGAAACTTCTGAGCATAAAATGATCACAGCTCTAAGGCAAAGTCATTTGCCTGTTAATTCGATTTTGTGGACAGTGTGTAAAATGAAGTATTTTCAAGCGTTAGACACCTGTGTGTGTGTTCACATGGTTGTGCAGCAGAGTTGCTGTACGAAAAGCCTTCGGGCAGAGGTGACACAAGTAACGTTTCTCATCAGAATGGGTTTTCAAGTGACGCTTCAGATTTGACAATCTGGCTGAGGTGAATGTGCAGAAACAACAGCTGAAACCTTCTTTTTGTCCTGTTGGAACAAAGACACATTTAGACTGTACAAGCCACAAAATAATGACTTTACATTTTCAAAAAATAGTACCAATTTCAACAGAGTCTCTACTTTGGGTAAAAAAACTTCATACTTCTACATCAAAGGACTTCATTAAGACTTCAGCAATTTGCCCCAAAAATAGTGCTTTATGTTAGTGATACAGTTTAGAATATAATCTCAGAAAACCTAACTCCTACCCTAGCTCTCACCTCCAAGACATGATGAGACTTCTTCTCTCAATACCATCATTAAGACATGGTTCATCAAAGCACTTACAACCTGTGCAACACACTTCTTGATGACAACCGTGTAATTAGTACTAAGGAAGTTTATTCAAAGATTTGGAAATGGCAGCTTAAGCTATTTTCAGCTTTCTGGTAGTCCTGAATCTGTAAAGTGTATATAAAAAAATCATGATGTAAAAGCCTCTTTAGAATTACCAGTTGAACTTGAGGAAAAAAAAAAAAAAATCAATTTCTCAAGGAAGTGACAGAATAAAGTTCGTGGCACAACAGAAATTAATTTCTTTTGAGAGTAACAAGTTAAGATTAAATGTGCAACACTTTCAGTTATGAAGAAGATTTGAAACTGTGAAATGGCAAATACGTCACATTTGAGGAGTCTTTCCAGAACAGTTGTCTCAGCTCCCAAGTGCACTCTCTGTAATGCTTTTCATGCTGAGACCAAAATGCATTTTATACAATGCTTTACACCACACAGAGATGTGCAGATAACACTTCACTTCAGCAACAGCAAACAAAACCACTTTATTGTCATTTATTCATTGTGGATTCATGCCCACACAAAAGAACATTGTTAGCTTTGTTAAAGCTGCTCAAATGTGCTTCCTATAAGGGCTGTAACTAAAACAAGGGACATTAACAATTTGCACAATTTCCATAAACAACCTCAGCCAAGACACCTCAACATCCAGATACTACAACACACACATTTACAGACTCAACATCACTGATGTCATCCAACTTTTATAGCACACACACAGAGTTTCTACGGAAACAGATGTTTATCTGTTCCCTTCCAAGTCAGTCCTTAACTTCTGCAATATACTTTCACATTTCTAAAATCTTAAATCAGCCATTTTCTGTCACTTTTATTTAGGTTCTGGGAAAGACTTTGCTGACAGGTATTGTCTGATACTTGCCCACTACTCCTCTGCCAGCAACGTGGAACAATTCTAAGCTCATCCATAAACCCTCAAAAAAGCTCATTTTCAAGCTGAATGAGTGAATTAAGAGACTAAATAAATTACTAGGTTTATTCAAAGGCATTTATACAATATTAACTTTGAAATCTCCCCGGAGGTTTCAAACACCACATACTGTTCAAAAGACCATTAATTTCTAAATGCCATCCAAAATGTCTCTCCTGACATCAGCCTGAACGAGATCTTCTAACGCTTAAGGCTGTAAGGTATTATTTCTTCTTCCAAATTTCCACAGAATTTTAAGACTTAACCTAATCTAAAGTTAACAATTACCACGGTATTAAATATAAAATTTCACCCTCACTTCAAAATCTTACCCAACGTACACTATCTAAAAATGAACTACAAATATTATTAACTTTTTACCTTTTTTCTGACGTAGTGTACAAGCTTGAAATTTTAGATTCTTGGAATTTTTTACAACTGTTTGTTCTGATGCAGTTGCATGTTCCTGCTCTTTACTTTCATTACATAACTCTGACAAATTTTCACCAGCTTTGCAGCTTTGGCTCTTTGTTTCCCCAACTGTAGGAAAAAGTTTCTTTCCTTCCCCCTCTTCAGATGGGCTCAGCTGCTGGATGTTATTTTCAAAAGCCATGGCATCATTATCTCTGTCAATCTAATTTAAAAAAGAAAATGTTTTACAACTTTCTCAATCAACGACAGTCACTAGTGGCAAATCAACTGAGCAGTCAACAAAACACAAGCTACTAATTCATCTTGATTTTCAGTCTTAAATGTGATGGACAAAACTGCAACAAAAAATTTGCATTTAGCACACCAGAGATTAACTGGGAAGTCAAAAATTACTAAAATTGAGCCCTACCTCTTCAAAATTTTATGTGACATTTCAGAGCATCGTGTTAAGATTACACCACTGAGAATACAAACCTCTGCATGTTCATTTTTCAAAAAGATATAAAAATTCACTTCAGTGAATTTAAAAATTCACCTTTTAAAAGAAAACAAGAAGTATGCTCCCAGTTTTTTATCAAATACAGGACTTCTGCAGCCTAATTGTAATGCTTTCTTTGTCATAAGGCAATTAACAGGGTTTTGATACTTCTTGCATTAGCTAAATATGACCTACCTCAGAAGTTATCTAGTGGTGCATGACTTTTAAAAGAAAAAAAATAATACCTTATTATAAAACCAATATCTAGCACAGAATAAACAGCAGTGTTTGCATGTCCTTTTAATAAAATTCATTTCAAATGAAACCATATTACACACCCAGCTTTAACAACGACACTGCAGTATTGAACTAACTGAATTATAGAGAAGGGAAATTGTGTAATACTACTTAAGAGATAGAGGCCATCAAACCAAACAGTACCAAACCGGTGCACTGAATTAAAAACTTGTCTGAATTTCAACAAGTTAGTCATCTAGAACACCTAAAGTTTTAGTTTGTCTTTTAAAAAATGGGACGAGATTATAAAAAGCTGTTCAAAGGACTGGATACTTAGGACCGAATCGGTGTGATAGTAGGAGCTGACAGGTAACGTATCTCCATCTTCACTGGTACCTCCATCAGGAGCACGTCTGGGGGTTTCTCAGTTGCCTTGCTTTCTGAACTCTTTTCTTGCCCTTCTTCTTGCAGGACGTGGATCTGTGCCTGCTCTAGGTCATAGAACACGCAGATCCCTTCCCGCAGAGTCAGAGCCATGCCCTGGGACACGCCGTTCACCACGGCCTGTCCCTGTCCCTGCTCCTGCCCCGGCGGCACCACTGCCCCGGCCAGCGCTGCCATGGGCGGGGGCCTGCCGGGCTGCCTCCTCGTCCTCCAACTCCGCCTTCACACACTCTGTGAGCAGGGCCGGTGTTTTTCACTCTCCTCAGGAGACAGGGACCGCTCTGGGGGACAGGAGCCCCCGCCCGCAGTCGGGTCACGGGCACCGCTCCGCTCGGCTTGCCCGGCCCCACCGCGCTCTTCTCCGCTGCCGTCCGCGGTTCCCCCGCAGCCCTAAGGCCTCGCACGGTGCTGAGCGAACCTGTTCGAAAGGCGACGTTGAACACGAGGGCAAACCACGGGCGTTCGGGACAAGCCACAGCCCTGCCTCGCACCGCGGGCCCCGCACGCTGCCCGCCCCGCTCCCCGCCTCTCGCAGCCTCGGGCCGGCCCTCCCCACCTCGGCTTGTGCCGCTCCTCGCCGGAGGAGAGGAGCTCCCCCGCCACAAGACACCTCACGGCCCGCTACGGGCGGTCCCCTCTCCCACCCTCCATCTTCCACCTCCACAACGGAGAAGGGGCTCAGCGGCCCGTTGAGCAGCCTCGGCATGGCGGCCCTGCCCTCCCTGCGCTGCTCCCTCAGCTGCAGGGGGAAGCCCACCCTCGGGCAGCACCTCCTGTGTGGGAGAGCTGGTTCTCACCTCTAATTTACCACGAGGCACAAAACCCTGACGTGGGTGAACCGGCAGAGCTTTTCCTGTCTGTGCATGGGGTGCTCAGCAAAGAGCCCATCCCCTCATAGCAAGAGCACAGCAGGGCCTGTAGGAGCAGCTGCCATTTTGCCACCCTCGAGCTTTAAATGAAGATCTCTTGGTCTTAATTGCAGGCCCTTAACCTCCTGCTCCCACTTGGCTGGAGACCACGGGGCTGAGCTCAGCTGGTTTCCCCACTTGCAAAATCACTGGAGTGCTTCCCATGTTTCCCTGACGGAAACCCTTCAGGCCGGGTGCCTTGGAGCTGAGTGGTGCTGAAGGGCTGCCTGACGCTGCTACCGTGGCGGCTCCCACCCGGGAGCTGAAGTGTTGTACGAAACTGGCTCAAGTGGGCTTGCAGAGCCAGTGGAGCGATATATAAGCATCATTTCACTGTACTTTAGGCCAGGATTGGGTATTCAATGAGAGCAAGTTCGAAAGAGTTCTCCAAAGGCATTGTGAAAAAAATGTCTTTGAGGTAAACTTGCACGATTTGAGAGCCTTAACGTTTAATCTTGTGGGCCCTTCTAGACTAGCAATTTCTAACCATCAAATGTTTTATACAGCCCACTTACTATGAATACTCTGTTACAGTGCAAAGGACAGATTTGGAGCTTCACCTCTAAGTATTAGCTCAGTGTGTTGCAGGTTATAGTACATTGCAAAGGGACTGCAGCCCAGTGTGGTCGAGATCCTGTTAAACTGAATTACTGAACACTAATCAAAGCCCCAAACCCAAACCCATTTCTCGCCTGTGGAAGTAACGAAGTAAAGCTGGCATTTGTGAAATATCCATAGCACAAAAGCAGCACACGCCACTGGCCTTTCAAGCTGTACCCTCAGATGAGGTGGGGTCATGCCCAAAGCCATTATATTTTGTGTTTCTGAGCACAGTTAACACCACTGGCTACCCAGGAACCACACATTCCCTTTTCCATGGAATTTGTCAGGCTCATTATTGCTGTTTCTGTGTGGTGGGTACCTGGGCTATATAGTACTGTTGGAAAAGCCAGTGAGTCTGATTCCCACAAAGGATATAGCTGTGAAAAGTACATTAGTGGGGCCACTGTAACTAGTTGTAAGAATGAAAAATTAAAATCTTCACATCTTGAAAAAGCATGATTTTAGGTCATTTGACCTTATCCTCAGAGACAGCAACTGAAAATCCCATAAATACCCTTGACAACAACTACTCCTATCCACTGCAGAATCTTAAATGCAAAAATAATACCAAATTTTTTACATTTGACATCTGCAAGTTAGTCATAACTATTCTGCTACTTGTAATCAACACAATTCCAAAGCAATTATTTGAGGTTGAATATGTGTTCCAGCAATGTAGGGCTGATATTTTAGTTAGACACCACATTATTCATCATCCACGAGTCTGTGGGCTCTCAAAACTAAAGAACACGATGCAGAGTAAATAATATATTCACATAATTATGCTGCCAGTAACTGTGGCCAGAGACTTTACTTCTCACACATTTCTGAATCTTTTCAAGTTGCTACATATATTGTGCAATTATTATAGTTGAAGGGCACTGTAGGAAAAAAGTTGTTATAATAATACACCCTCCTTTAGGTCATTTTAATGAGGTTTTCTGCACTTCAACAGTCATCAGCTTCCAAGAGCTGTCCTGCCTTGCACTTCTGCATTATTAATACCAGCACCATCCGTGCAGCTACACTAAAGGTCTTGTCATTATTTCCATTATTAACTGATATTTTCAAGGATTTATAACTCAAACATAGAATAGCCCTTCAGTTCTTCTTCTTTTTTTTTTTTTTTTTTTTAATTTAAAGGAATCACTTGGATCAGCAAGCTGCAAATGCAACCAGTTTCTGATTAGGTTTTGACACACTAGAGGTTAACAGCTCCATAATGGCCATTATGGTCTGCTGTGTGTACAGTCTCCAGTTACCACTGCTGCTGCATCGTCTATCTCTAGCTGCAATCAAGCTTCTACTCACTCCTCTGGGAGTCTGGTTCTTTCTAACACATCAACAGTCTGCCTGAAAAATCTATCATGAAAAGAATAGAGAGCCATTTTATTTTTAAAGTAATAATTGTACTTCGGGGGGTAAACATTCAGTATGAATTATTGTATGTTAGGAGTAGCTTATGAGGAATATAAGGAATTTACTGTAGGCACATTTTCTTGTGCTAAAGTAATGTTGCATAAAGAAACAAAATTCAGCCACAAAATTGCAGATAAATTGCTGATAAGGATCTACCAATGCATGAAAATGAATACATGGACAACTGAAATCCTCAATCAGCAGAGTAAATTCTACCCTTGACTGCACTAAGGAAACACAGCGAACTTTGTTCTGATCTGTGGTTTTCTACCCAAGTATAAACAGTGTGGCTGATTTTGGAAAAGAATAAAATATTGGGTTATCTGTTCAGATTCCCAGTCTTAAATCTGAATAATGCCTTTTATAATATTTAGGATGTTTAATGCTTGTTAGGTGGAGCTTTTTTAAATGCTCCATTAGCATGTACATAAAGCATATTTGACCTTGAAGGTAGTTCGAAGTTTCCTTTCCTTACTGTGTTTTAGAAAATCACTTTGGATGACTGCAGAGGCTGTTTAACAAGCCTCTGCTGAGATGCTTTGCACCTCCATCACAGGTTCTAAACTGCAGAGCACTGATGCCAGTGGAAGGATTGCCATCAATTTAACTGGGTTTGGAATTAGGCCCAGAATAGATAACTATGAGAAGAAATGACAGTGTGATTTATTTACACGTTTTTGACCTGTCCACAAAATGCAGAGTAAATCAAGACTGCTGTAGTGCAGTTGGAAGAGAAAAGGAAAAAAATAAAAAGGAAAAAAAAGAGGGAGACCAAAGCAAAAAGAACCCTGAAGCAAATAGGCCCCAGTTTAACCTCCAATGCTCGTAATTGTTTCATTTATGATACTGTGTCTTGTGGTTGAAAACTCCATTCTTCTGCAGAACATGACTCCTGTTAGTCTATGAGAAAACCCAGCCTTTGTTGTGACTTATTTTGACAGCTTTAATACCATTTTCCACCTGGCATCTGGAAAGTTTTCCATTTTCACTTTCCTCCAATGTCTCACTTTTGTTTCCAAGTCTATGTCGCGTTCGCACCGCACCTGTCAGAGCGGTGTCTGTGCCTTAACACCGCTCTGCAAACACACACGCCTTTGCTTTGCTCTTACACCAGGGACAATCACTACCTTCATCACCTGTTTTGCAGTGAGATATTGCCCCTCTTAATAATGACAGCAGGAGATAACCTCCTTCACACCATCACCTGTTTCAGAGAAAGGGAGTTTACTTTTATCATCTTCTAATTCGTCTGGCTCCTTTAAACACTGTTCAGTTCTTGAAGCTGTAGTCACTAAACGGTTGAAATATTTTCTGATGCTGTTGTCAACTTGTTCCTTTAGTGTCCCACTTTCACAGAGATGAAGCATTTCTTCAGAGACCACCAAATACCCTAATTAAAAAAAACACAAAACCACGCAACATTTCAGCTAATGAGTGAGATTAAAAAAAGAAAGTTAGATTCTTTTGGATGCTGTTCTAAGCAACTCAGGTGGAAGTTGCAGATTCAGAATTAACTCAGTACTTCAGTGCTGGCCTGGAAGATTCTCAGGAGAAAATATACAGTCTGATCACTTTAAAAAGAAGGATAGTATTAAAATATTTTAGATTTTTTTGTTTTGTTCTGTTTGTTTATTTGATTGTTTTTTGGTTTTCCCCCCATACCTCTGGTTCTGAGGTGGGAGCTGCAGTTTATTCTAGAAGACATGATTTAGGATTCAGATCAGACTTGGATTTCTTGTTTACCCCAAAAAACACAATTCTCTTCTCCCCATCTCTACAGTCATATAAAAGCTACTCAGACCTCAGACCCAGGAACACCAGAACATACAGTCCTACTTTTTTCCTTATTCCCCAAAGCAAAGGGAAGATGGAAGCATTGCAAAGCAAAGACAGATGAAAATCATCACGGAGGGTATTGATTGACTGGTGTCTAGGCAGGCTATAAATTACCACTTTTCAGTGCAAAGAGGAGGGTGAGGAGAGCTGCAGAGCTGTCTGGGGCACAGTGCTGGGACTGTTCATGAACAATCAGCTAAATATTTGCTTTCCACAGGCACAGGGAAGGCTGGGCTTTGCTCTCCCTCCAATCCTCATCTTGGCTTTGAGAAGACAAATCATCTCTTTAAACAGGAGTGATTCTTGTAGCAGAACCAAACCAACTTCTGTTAAGTTAAAAGACTTAATGCTTTCAAGTGTTGTCTATGTGCTTGAAATCCCGCTCCAGACTGTAAATTATTATAATTATATAGCATGACAAAAAAACCAAGACATAATAGTGTACAGATGTGGGATATATAAAAGGGAAGTACTTAACATAAGCTTACTGGAGCTGAAAGTACCAGGGATGATTGATTGTTCAGACACAAGCCAGGGAAGTGGTCTAAAAATTATTAACCATAATTGTAATTTGTCTATTAACTGTTTCATCTAATACTATGATATATTTAGAAACATGCCATCCAGTAATGCACCGTTTGCTGCTTGTGGCAAACAGCAGAGCTGCGTGCCTGGGTCTGTTTGGAAGAAGGATGTTTATTGGGAAGGACATTACTTCTTCCATTTCAAAAGAAATTAGTGTGGTTATGCAGTTAAGAACACCTCAGTGATTTCCACTGTTTTTACAGAATACTCTTTAATCCAAGAGATAGCAAAGAAAGTTTTAAAGACAACTCCCCTTAGTTAGTTATTAAAGGTTTCTGTTGCTGTTTGTGCAAGGGTCAAAGAGTTAAAAGCTTAAAAAGGCAGAAAGTTTTCCTGTTGTTTTGACTAAACGGGGGAAACGTGCTAGAGCTGTGCAGAATTTGATTGCCAAACACAGAGAGAAGATACACAGTGAGAAAGGATAGTAAAGGTTTAACCCAGCTGATGTAAGAAACAAACTCCAAGGATGCCCATGTTTCCTTCTTTTATCGCATTGTTAATCTTTAATCAGAAAAACAGTTCAGAGAACAGCTCTTTGTGCACAGCTGAACAGACACCAAAAGTTGGAAGCTAATAGGATCACAGAGAAGGGGACTTTTGAATCATTGTCCTAATGAATCTAGGAGTGAGATGTACAACCCAAAGGAGTTCAAATTCTGCTTCCACGTGGAAATGCAGCAAGTACACATTAAACCTTGCAGAATCAGCAGTGAGGAGGCAGTTGGTAGGTTCAGAAGAGCAGTGGGTTCCCATGCACTTTTTTCCCAGCTCAGATAACAAATTGTCTTGGGTGCTGAACTTTCCAAGGAGTTCAAATCAAGCTTCTTAATTCAAAAATCTAAAGAAATCAAGAAAATTTAAGGTCATATTTAAAGATGTGTATATTAGTCTCACTTCTGAATGGTGAGTGATTTAGTCCTTGATATTTATCAGTATAGATACCTTAAATCTTAGTCTTCTACACTGCTGTAATGTCAAATCTTCACTTAAATGCCTGTCCATCAGGAACTGGTAACAGAAACATGGTATAGCAGGCTTAGTTTTACATAGTTTCTTCTCCTGTAGTAAGAAACCAAGTCATCCTTACAGTCCTTGCAGTCTTTTTAAACAGCAGGATGAGGCAGTGCCTAGAAAGCAAAGGAGAATAGCTAAGTGACAGTTTTGTGAATCATGGTTATTGTTCTGTTCAGAGCTGCCTCTACAAACAAAGTCTCTTGATCTGTCATTCATAACCTTCTTTTGTTTAAGATCTCCTGGGCAGAGCCCATTTGTGCTTCACCCAAAATAACAAGGCCTTAGTGCTGTTGCAGAGCAAATACCTGAACTCTACAAGGTTAAAAAGTGGGTGGATTTTTAAAATTTTTTTTTAAGAATGTAAGTTGGTTGCTATTAATTTTTACATACATACATGCTTATGTATCATTCTGAGTCAGTAAATTTGGAGACAGTCACAGCTGGTCAGTCAACAGGCACAGGTACAGCAATCAGAATTCTGTCTTCCTGAAAGCATAAGAAAAAAGTGTGATCTCCAGGGTCCAGTTGAACCCTCGATCTCTTTACTGAGTGTTGTTTGTAGCAATAGTCATCATTGTGGCACTTGTCTCATAGGAACCATTACAGTGACCAAGCAAAAGTGCTTTCAGAAAAACATCCCATTGTTGTCCACCAGTGTTGCCTTGTTCCTATTAGAATGGTGCTATGCATAAGTGTGCAGTGTGTAGGATTGCACCTAACCTGTTAACACTTACATAAGAGTTTTCCAGTAAACACAGGCTCTGATACAGGGATTATTGGTTTTTTTGCAATGTTGATTTTCCTCCAGCTGCCAGGTTCAAGAACCAAAAGGTATGTAGTGCTTGACATAGGCACATTTGCCTTCTGACCTTCTGATGTAATTTGGCTTTCATTTCTGCACAATCAGCTTTTCTATCCTGTTTGGCTTCCAGTGCTATACAATGCTCGAAATATTAATCAAAGCTATTTTCCTGGGGAAAAAGGTATGGAACAAATCTCACTTGAAACAGAAAATACAGTTCAGCCCATGTTGCTGCTGTTGTGTTCACATTAAAGGAGAAAACAGGTTACAGTATATGTTTTTAATTTCAAATAAGAACATACTATTTGTATTACAGTAACCTAGAGAGGACCCAGCAGGGACTATCTGTGGCACAGACATAAAAATAAGAAGAGATAATTATCATGTCTAATTAGCTTTTAAACTCCTCTAACTGGGAACTACCAACCAAACTAGCAGAATGCATAAGAACAGGGAGAAACTGGCATTATCACTCCTTCCATGGAGATGATAAAGGCTTATTTACATGTCTAAAATCAAATAGGAAATCCATGGCGGAGGAAGAAACAGAACCTAAACCTTCAGACTCTGCACCAACACTTACTGGTTAAAGCCATCCTTTAAGGAAGTCAGCTCATGAAGGACATACAGAACTGTGACCAGGGGGACAGGCTACGTGTAACAAGGGACAAAAACATTGAGAGAGAACAAACGTAAATGGAAACATTTAAAGAAAGGAGAAAAAGCGCAGGTAGAGCTGGGTAGCCCTGACATGACAACTGCTAACAGAGTGCTGCTAGCAAACAAAGGATCACAGAGAATAATGAACAACATGCAAGAAGAAGGAGCAAGAGGTTGTCTTATCCTAGAAAAATTAAACAAACTTAGATTATAATAGGTGCCCCTTGTGCCTGAGGAGGTGAAGTCTCTGTAAAAGGGCAGAGTTAGCAGAACCCTGGTTATCCACAGGAAGACAGAAGCTCTTGAAGAGCCTGTGTGCAAGGATTTGTTGGTTACCCGTTCTCCAGGTAGGAAGCAGGGAGCCCTTGACAGCTGCAAACACACACCTGTGTGGTAAACAGATTTCACTCCAGCAAGGGTCACCGTTTTTATTTGCAAACTGAATCTTGGAGCCATCTGGGCTTTGTGTGACTGAGCAGAGCAGATGCTGCACAGGTGAAGGGAAACACAAACCTTATGCTGACTGTTTTCCACGGTGTTTAGTATGGTTTGTCCCCTTCTCTCCTAGCTGCAGTTCTGCTGTTCATCCAGCCAAAAAATTGCAGTAACTGTGCAAAAATCATAATTATGTTCTGGCTACTGTACAGTCAGTCAAAGTCTTGGTGGGCCCAAATTCTCTGTGTGACTCTTAGACCTTCTGCAGTAGATGAGAAGAGCTCCCAAGCTGACAGGATTACACATAGATGGCCACTGGTCAGGTGCCAGTGGCTACAGAGCCCATTACTCACATATTCACACTGATAGGAGTTTTATGAAAGAATGGACAGTATTCCTTACAGGCAGTGCTTGGAAGTGTCAAGGTGCCCCTCTAGCCAAGACTCAAGTTCTTATTTCTTACAGCAAAAAATGGAAGAGAGACCCCACCTCCCCTGGTGACTATAACAATGTCTCAGAGCCTGTAAAAGTGAGCTTAAAAATGAAGTAATAATAATAACAACAACAATAATAACTAATTTATCTGCCAAAGGAGAAGAATAACAAGCATGTGTGACTGTGGTATAATGTCAGCAATGTCATGTATTGTGGCACACCAGGACTTTCCCTTAAATACAGCTCAGGAAGGATTGAGCACTTTGGCTGATACTAAACTAAGCATCAGAGGTTGGTGACTTTCTTCAGAGACCTTAAACATGCACCAGTGCATGTTCCTGGCTGCTAACATTTACTTCCATTTGTTTGAGAAATCTTAGCTTGTCTGTGGTCAAGCTGAAAATGCTGGACAGGCACCAGTCTAATCAGGATAAATCTGTATCCTTTTCTGCTGTTCCATTCCTCTGCCATCAGAGCAAGGCACTTAACTTTGAACACAGGCAAAAAAGTTACATCACCTTATGTAGTGATCCACAAACATTATTATATCTTACAGCCTGCCCCAGACAAATACTCTATCATTTGGGGTTGGAAAGGAGGAGGTAAGAAGGAAAGTGCTGTGCTCCCAGTTTGCTGCTACCTGTTGTCCCTGCTCCCAGAGGCTCAGTCTCACGGTTCACGCGGCACACGAGGAGAGGAGTGTGCAGCACGTGTGGCAGAGCCCCCAGACCTCCTGCAGATGGGTCAGTGCCGAAGAACTGCCTGTAAGGAAAGGGGCTGTGAGGCGGAAATATCGCCCAGGGCTGCGCGGGGCCTGGAATAAACACTTGGCTCGGTCACAGACTCTTTTGCAACTGCAGGCAATTTACACGGTTCAGGTTTTCTTCTGGAAGCTGAGAGAACAGTCCCTGCCCTGGTCTCTGTGAGCTGTTTGCTTGCAAGGGCTGCCCTTGGATCTGGGCTCTGTGGCACCCAGTCCAGCAGCAGTTGCAGTGCACTCACAGCAGGAAATAACAATCCAGAGGCAATGCTCTGCCCTTAGTAGAGCAGCTCAGAGAATCTTTAAAAAAAGCTACAATTTTATAACAAAATACCCAAGTGACAAACTCTTTGGAGGTGATAGTATGTAGGATAATTAGCAACGGGAGGGGAGTAGAATTTCTGAGTATTATTATATGCCATTAACAACTTTCAGAGCTCATTGAGAGTGCTTTATTGCACCTTGGTTTGTAGTGATGAATTAAGCTTTCTAATGATGCTTTTTCTGAGCATCTAAGAACTTTTACATTTATTGCATTGACTTCCAGTAAGTCTATAAATCTAAGTGCTCAAAACCTCTATTTTGAACAGCCTGAATAGTGTCCATCAAAGCAAACATCCTAAAAACCCTCCTTTCAAGGCACTTGTTGAACACTATCATCTTGAAATGTCAGATTCACATGCATTTAAATGATTTGACAGCTTCCAAGAAGGCACCTGATGAGCATCACATTCAAGTGTCAAGAAGCACAGAGAAAAAGTGCCAAAAAAAGTTAAATCTGAAGAAATTGTATCAGCTATTAGATGAGCATTATAATGCAGTTACTACTAAAAAAGATTTCTCATTTAAATGGCAAATAAACTTTACATTCTAGACAAATTTTTTTAAAGGCCTTACATTGCCCCAGACCACCTCCCATGTTTTTCACTAGTGAGATCTTCCAGAACCTGAAGCCAGGCAGCAGACACACACTGGTACTGGGTGAACACCTCAAGACCACTGTAATTGAGCCATTGGAGGTGCTACTTCTAGGTTTGGGGGTTTTTTTGTGGGAGACACTGTGTGTTATGAAAATTCACTATCTTCTGTTAAAACCTTTAATGCCTTCTGTTGGCTGTCTAAAAGCTGAATCTCTAAATGAGAAGACTCTTGAAAAAAAATCTTGGCCCTGATTTGCATATGCTCCAGTTACTTCATTGCACCAAATACTGTGTGTGTTTTATATAGGGGCTTGAGGCTTACTGTGTGTTTGTGATATGCTTTGAGATCCTCTGATGGGAGGTGTTACCTAAATACAAGTAATTTGATGCTGAAGTGTCTAGAATTCCCAGTGGACATCTGCACTCGAGCCCTGCTGCCATCACAAATGAAAAACATTTGGAATCCTTAATGTGATTTTTAATGGACATATGTTTGCAACACGGTGCCACCAATTTGGCATATTTAGTGTCTCCTCAAGAGAAGCCCACAGTTTGTATAGCAAGATTGTGGGAGGTTAGGATTGCAGTGTGAGAAAATTTGCACAACACCTGCCTGACTGCAATTTAATTGGCAGAAATTAATGCTCTGGGTTTGGGGATTTTTTTCCTGCTCTCAGAACCAAAGAAACACTAGGACTTATCCTGCTGTATTGCACTGTTGTATTTAAGCTTTTATTCTGACTTCACTTGTGCTGTAACATGATCATTTTCTGGTCCACTGTCTTCCTGACCACTGAGCATTGCTGGCTTACTCTCAGTTGTTATTTTTATGTATACTGACTTACCTGGCCAGCAGAAAGCATTCAGTATTTTTGTACTTCACTGAGAAAGGGCTCTGCTTAGTGTTACTGAAGATTATACTCCATCTTATTTTTAATTAAGTACTTAATGGTATGTTTTAAAAGGAAAGCATTTGACTGAAATATTTCTGATCAGCTCCATCAGCAGCACATATGTGGACTCCTGAAGACAAACACCAGCACTGTTATTATTAAATCGGTTTTGGATTTTACCTGTTCTTACAGCAGAGCCCTATCTGGAAGAGTCTTTAGCACCTCTTATGCCACCGGATTTTTGTTTTCCTTTTGGAATGTTTGGCCTTGCAGTGCATCAAGGACAGCCCCTCTTACCTCACTGTTTTCTTCCCTTATTTACAAAACATAATAAAAGGCTTTGCAAGAGAGATAGAGGATACAGTCCCAGGAGGGGCGTTCCTGCAGGGGGAGGTTCAGCTCAGCAGTATTTTAGGCTTGCAGGGCAGGAGGCTGAGCTGCAGTCCTGATCCCTGCTGCTCTGCCAGCCTGGCATTTCAGGGCTGGCAAGGCACTGCTGGCTGCCTCAGCGAGAGCCTTGCTGGAAAACATCTCATTGACTCACAACCCTGAGCAGCATTGTGAACACCCTGATATGTAGGATACTCATATCAATTTTGTTGCTTTAAAGAACTCCCTGAAACCTAACTGGGGTTCCCAGATTTCCTGTTCTGCAAACCACTGCTGACAATATTTTGCTTTCTTGGTGAAAGACCCATCAATGCAAAAAAAATAACAGGAAGATGAGCCTTTCTTTGTGGGCACAGTGGTCTAAAAT